TGTGCTTCTGTTCCTTCTTTTTCACTGGCGTTAATCTCAAAAGCACTTCTTAATAAGTATGCTACATATCCTATCCTAATCACCATCTCAGAGTCTGCTTTTTTTGGCAACCAAACCAGCCATACCTGCCAATAACCTTCCTTGGAAGCTTATGCAAGCTGCTAGACAAGCTCAGTAATCAGCGAAACTTCAGAAGCTATGATTGGGTTACAAATGGATTATTCCACAATTTATTTACTCTCAGGTCATCACCCAAAGACATTTTCAAAAATTTATGCTGATCTTTTGAAAGTACATTTTCTCCAGTTCCTACATATAGAAAGATCCTGATCCTGATTTACACATGGACAGAAGATCCTGATCCTGATTTATATGTGGACTTCTGTCCATGTGTAAATCTCAGCTTAGCAGCCATAAATCAAAATGGAAATTCTTGCTAGACAAAAGAGTAGGGAACCCCAAAAATCAGGAATAAGGATCAAACAAAAATGAAGTTTTTATTAAACTACCTGCAAATAGCAAACAGATCCCAAAATATTTGAGCAGACTTCACCACAAGATATTGTATGACCACAGAAACACAGGCCACTGAAACACAGGGCACGGACATGTGATCTGTCCCTGGTAGTAGTTCTGCCTCTTGACTTCTGAGTAGACAGAGAAAGTTGCAGGGTCCCTCCTTTCTCTCTCACTTCCTGGTCTTCTCTGCAATTTTCTTTCTCCAAGGCAGAGGCTTGCGAAATCCAAAAGATCTGGATGTCATTCTAGACTCATCACATACTAGTTACGTGAACTTAAACAAGTTATTAACGTCTCTGAGTCTCACTTTCCTTATCCAAGAAATGAGAGATAAAGAAAACTTCTGCAGTGCAGTTGGCAGAAATGAAAGCATTAATGAATATCACTTACGGAGCCATGCAGAGCATGCCACAGAACAGCGCTTAACATTCTCCCCTTAGCTGCACACTGGAATTAACTGGGGAGCTTCAAAAAATACTGAAGCCTGGAGGGCACTCCCTAAAGAGTCTGCTATCATCAGTTTGGGGTGCTGAAACATCAGAAAGGTTTAAAGCTCTCCAGGTGATTCCAAAGTGCAGCCAAGACTGGTAACTATTGTTCTATGCAGAGTATTTTATTTAAGCAAGATACTACCCTAGGAGTTCAGTCCAATTATTCCCCTTCACCCTCCTTCCCTCATTTCTACAGATAAGGGGATTAAGGTTTAGAAAAGTTAGAAGATTATGCAAGGGTACAGATCTAGCAAGGGACAAAGCTGAGATTTAAGTTCACACAGTATGACTCCCAAGACCTAACACATCATGGCCACACTGCTACGCTACCACTCCATGTCCTAAATGTGAAGAAACATCTAGCATGGTCTCTAGCATGCAGAACATGCTCCAAATTTGAGAGCTAAGTTTGTTTGTCATTTTTTAGCATCCTTCCTCTCCCTTCCTTGCTCTTCACAATCCCCAGCCCCAAATATCACTTGGAGTTCAGTAGAAGTAAGCAATGGATAAGATTTAGAAGCATAGTCAGGATGGATCCAGAAAAAAAAATATTCTTTTTTCCCTCTTTTCTCCTTCCTAAATCCTCACCATAAGCATGCATTTGTTGTATTCGTCTGTTCTCATGCTCAGAGACATATATATAAAGACATATCTGAGACCAGGTAATTTATAAAGGAAAGAGGTTTAATTGACTCATAGTTCCACATGGTTGGGGAGGCCTCACAATAACGGCAGAAGGAAAATGAGGAGCACAGTCATGTCTTACATGGCAGCAGGCAAGAGAGAACTTTTGTAGAACTCCCCTTTATAAAACCATCAGATGTTGTAAGACTTATTCACCGTCACAGAACAGCACAGGAAAGACCTGCCCCCATTATTCAATTACGTTTCACCAGTTACCTCCCATGACAAATGGGAATCATGGGAGCTACAATTCAAGATGAGATGTGGGTGGGGACACAGCTAACCCATATCACTTGTTTTACATTTAAAGTCTTTTAAAATAATTATTACAGGTACAATATTGAAAATATCAGAATCCAAGGAGACATTTTTCTACCATTCCTTCTCACGTGTAAGTGAATGCTTTCATTTGCCTACATAAGCTTCTGAGCCTTGTCCATGAGCATCTATGATTTTTATGTTTACATTGCCATAATGTAATTATATATTTAAAATTGTCATCCACATGATGTCATTTCTTTTTTCAGAAGATCTGTCCTATAACCCAATTAAGCAGTCTGGTACAGCTCTGCAGATAATGGAGGTAATTTTACCATTAACTTAGCCTAAAATAATGCCATTAAAGGTTTCCCTCTTAAGCAAAAAAAAAATAGCCTGGTTACTCTGAAAGCTAATATAAAAATGTATAAGCCTGTAGAGCTCACACAACATGACGTTTGCCTTTCCATATCTGCTGTATGCCCTTCAGTGCCCACACGCCTCATCCCTCTCACCCCCACACTTGGCACGGAGTAGGAACTCAAAAAATATTTGATGCATGAACAAATGACCTGTTTCTTGGCAGTATAGTGAAATTATAAAATAGGATTTCTCAGAAGCTGGCACAGAAGACTCCAAAGTTAGACCTGAGAACAGGGCAGGGTGAACACTGGCAAAGCAGGCAAGAAAGGCAACAGGAAATCCCATGGCAAAGGACAGCTACACTGTCCGAGAGGAAACGTGTGGTTTCCTGAATTGCACTTGTTCAAAACCTTCAGGCTTAAAGCACGACTATGTAAACCTTGTCAAGGACCCACAGCTGGCCCAACAGTCATACTTTGGGGTTGTTTTCTTTAAAAGTTATTTATAGTCTTAGGGTTCCTAGGAGAAATAGGGAGTTGGAAGCCACTGTAGCATGAAAATAAAGCTGCAAGGAATTGAAGTAGATATGCTTCAGAAGAACAATTCATGCAATATTCTTAGATGAAGGATTCTTAAGCTAGTGTCCATTGGGTCTCCTCTGGGTACCATAGAGGGACTTCAGGAAATGGTGAATGGCCTGAGATTGATGGGGGGGAGAGAGAGAGAGAGAGAGAGAGAGAGAATATGAATATGTGTGTGTGTGTGTGTGTGTGTGTGTGTATGTTTGTGTGTGTGTGTGTGTGTGTGTGTGTGTGTCTGTCTGTCTGTCTGTCTGTGGAGGAGACCACAGCTTTCAGTAAATCCTCAGGTCTTTTGATTATGGGGCTGCTCTTCCTTTCACTTCATTAAGTCAGGTGGGGCTCTTCTAAACCCATCTTTATGTGCTAGGGGCTAGAGGTGGGGATGAGAGAGAGCAGGTAGAAGACAGGGGAACTAACGCTATATAAAACCTTCTTTTGAGTCAATATAAGTAAAAGACTTAGAGAGTGTCCAATCTGCATCAGGACCAATAAATATTAGCTCTCTTTATTATTATTATTGCACTATGCCAAAGCACTTCATGTTTTCTCAAACTCACAACAACCCCATGAGTTCAACATAAGTCCCATATTCCATTAGGTTGAACAACCAACCCAGGGTCACACAGCAAGTGGTGAAGTTCAGAACTCTCTAATTCCATAGCTTAGATTCTTCCTCTCCATGCTGTGGCCTGAATTACTGGCCAGGCTTTCAGTCTGGAGGCAGCTTCTCTGTCTGCCCTTCAGGTTTTCACATCTAAAGCCCAAGGGTCTCGCTCTTTCCGAGTCTGTCCATCAGAACAGGCAGGAGGCCTAAAAATGAGCCCCTTCAAGCCAAGGCACAGTCTACTTGCTTACATAACATAACCTTAGTCATCCCACTCAGGTTCCACACTCAAAGCCAATTTCTCTTCTAGGGCATCCAGTGCTAGTTAAAGAAATAAAATCACATTTATCATAATTAACTCTCTTGCCTTTCTGACACATTCAAGTCAAAGGCCAAAAGGGAATAATTTTTTTCTAGTGGTCACAAATCAGAGCAGTGAGAAAGCTCTACACCAAATCTACCATTTTCTGATTTCAAAATCCATGCTAAAAACTGCAGTTAAATATCAGCTACCAAAACACCCTTCCGTCACACGAGAATCATGGCGACCGCATGTATTGAGCACTTTCTATGTACCTGCACTTTATGTGTGATTTCTATGCCTCAAAAGAGCCAAGCAGGCCAGACAGATGTTACTGCTTGGGAGGCTAAGCAAGTCCCATAGAGTCACACATGCAGTGAAAAGCAGAACCTGGACTCCAGCCCAGGCCTGTCTGATGATATCAACAGTGTTGCTAACCATGCTCTTCCCACCAGCTCTCTACAGTCACTGTGATTCACGGTACCCAGGACCAACACTGGCTCTTGGCTTTCCCGCAAACCACTTCCCTGAAACCTGGGGCAATTTCTTGGGAGGAGGAGCCATGAAAAAAGAACAGAGGGACTCCAAAATAGAATACTGGGTGAGAGTCCCAGCTCCGCTACTTCGCTAGCTCTGTCACCACGGGCAGATCACTTAACTTTCCAAGGCCTCAGTTTCCTCACCTATGCAATGGAGATGACCGTCAATGCCCCACATTGCGCTGATCTAGAAGAGATGAGAAGAGGAGATAAGGTTTAGGGGCTTCCCAAACGTGAATTATCATTACCCTTCCTTAACTCGCTAATTCAAGACAGGTGGAAGTCCTTTCTCAGCCTCCTCTCTTTGCTCATCTTCAGAGCTCTTGGCCACCTCCAGAGTTCCACCACTGGCACCCTTCGCACTGCCCTCCTCCCAGGTGGCTGCTGCTTAATTTCCCGTCCATTTCAGTAGTTCTTCTCTTGCCTCGCTGTAAGGACTGGTGTGGGCTGTTACGAATTCTGGCTATTTTCCTTCTGTCCTTCCGCTTCAGCACCAGGGTCTTTCTCTACTGAGAACGCAGCGCTTCAGGGCCGAGCTCTTTACTGGTCTGCTCTGCGCTCCGCAATGCCAGCGCCAGGCTCGCACCCTGCAGAACGTCCCGCCTCTCGAAGAGGGGTGTGACCGGCGAGTTTAGATAGGAGGTGCCTGCTGTGGGGTACACCCCACCGCCCTCGGAGCTTTCCCTGCGGCGCAGCCTCTCCGCCAGAGCCGCGGGTGTGCGGAGCAGCCGGGGGCTCCTCAGCACCCAGGCGCCAGGGCCCTCGCCCTTGCCCTTCCGCAGCCTTGACTCCAGCCCTCCGCTCCCGCAAGTCATGAGGTTGCCCTTCTACCGCTGCCAGAACACCACCTCGGTGGAAAAGGGCAACTCGGCGACGATGAGCGGGGTGCTCTTCAGCACCGGCCTCCTGGGCAACCTGCTGGCCCTGGGGCTGCTGGCGCGCTCTGGGCTGGGGTGGTGCCCACCGCGTCCACCGCGCCCGCCGCCCTCGGTCTTCTACGTGCTGGTGTGCGGCCTGACGGTCACCGACTTGCTGGGCAAGTGCCTCCTGAGCCCCGTGGTGCTGGCTGCCTACGCTCAGAACAGGAGCCTGCGGGTGCTTGAGCCTGCATTGGACAACTCGCTGTGCCAAGCCTTCGCCTTCTTCATGTCCTTCTTTGGGCTCTCCTCTACACTACAACTCCTGGCCATGGCACTGGAGTGCTGGCTCTCCCTAGGGCACCCCTTCTTCTACCAACAGCACATCACCCTGCGCCGGGGAGCGCTGGTGGCCCCGGTGGTGAGCGCCTTCTGCCTGGCTTTCTGCGCTCTACCTTTCGTGGGCTTCGGGAAGTTCGTGCAGTACTGCCCCGGGACCTGGTGCTTTATCCAGATGGTCCACGAGGAGGGCTCACTGTCGGTGCTGGGCTACTCCGTGCTCTACTCCAGCCTCATGGCGCTGCTGGTCCTTGCTACCGTGCTGTGCAACCTGGGCGCCATGCGCAACCTCTACGAAATGCACCGGCGGCTGCAGCGGCACCCGCGCTCCTGCACCAGGGACCGCACCAAGCCCCATGCCAACGGAAGGGAAGCGTCCCCGCAGCCCCTGGAGGAGCTGGATCACCTCCTGCTGCTGGCGCTCATGACCGTGCTCTTCACTATGTGTTCCCTGCCCGTAATTGTGAGTCCCGGGCCCGAGACAGCAGGGAGCTGGGACTGTCTGGCGGTGGATGCGGGGCAGGGTGGAGTGAGCGGGGATGGACGCGGCGTCAGGGGAGCTGCGCCCTGGGCCAGGAAAGTTTGTTGTTGAGTTCCCCAAATTGGATTTCCTCCACAGCCCCAAGATATAACTCAGTTTGTGGAGCAAAATGAAGTTAATGAAAGGAAGGGAAAGACAGCCCGACCGTGTCTCCTAGGAGCTTAGCAAAACCCTCTCCATGTGGCAGAACTCCCTCCTCTCTGCTTCCTTCTGGGGAGATCTCGGGATCATTTTTGCTCCTTAGGAGGAGCAGAACTTAGTTTCTCCTTGGCAATAGAAGCCCTCTACTTCCCGACGGCTGGGTGATGTTTTATTTTGTTAGACTCGCTCATGACTTCAGTGGTATCAGAAATGGGTGAATGGCGTCTTGGGGAGGGGGTCTTCTTCGCGGTGTTGGCATAGAAAGGGAAAATGAAGTTTAATCTCGCCAGAGTGATTTGCAGATGCATAGTTTTAATTTTTAAAAACGCCTGCGTAAACTTTTGAGGCGCCACGGCTGCTGTTTCTGGTGCTGCATCCGCCAGGGATTGTGGTGATGGAGGCCAAGGTTCTTTGTATGTTTTAGTTGCTGGTGTCGTTTTGATAACCTGTCTTGACGGGTTTTGATGTATCTTGGCAAGTGAGGTGACATGAAAGCCGTCGGGTTTCAATTTAGTAATTAGGATGGCAGTGGAGATGGAATTATCTCGTCGTTTTGAAGGCATTTGTTCCTGGAGCCCCCGCCAAGACATCTGGGAGTAGGTGAGGCTTGAAGAAATTTTTTCAGTGTTTCTCCTCTCCTTTTTCCCACCCCCAAGGTACCTGTTAAACAAAAACAACACTTAAAGAAATTCCATTGCCAATCCCATGTTCTCGAAATCCTGAGACTTCTGTCAATAGGAAAGTTGTTCAATTTCTTCTCAGAGTGTAGCAATTTTGTATATTACTCTCAATGGTGAATAAAAGGGAAATACAAAGTGATTTTTCCTTTAAATGACAACCTGTGTGTGGGAAAAGGAATCTTGAGCATCAGCCTGGAGGGCTGGGAACAGTATGCCCCCAAAATAAACAAATACATAAATCTATATCCATCTAAATCTATCTAAATATAGATATAGGCATAGATGACATATAGCAGTGTTTTTCAAACTTTAACATGCTTAGAATCACCATCAAGGCATCTAGAAAAACAGATGGCTGGACCCCATTCCCCAGAGTTTCTGATTCAGACATTTTTAAAGAATTTTCATTCTTAACAATTTCCCAGGTGATATGCAAGCTCTGATTCAGGGATCACATTTGTAGAATGGCACTCTGAAAACAGGAGTTGGCAAACCACAGCTCACAGGCCACAGCTATCCTGGCCACTGTTTCATATCTCCCTGGAGTTAGGAATAATTCTTAGAAATGAATCTCTGCAATCAATTTGATAAGGCCCAAGAGCTTTGAGCTTCAATTGAGCCATACTATTCCAAGAAAAATACTGTTCCAAGAAAGCATTTTATTCTTCTTTTTAGTAGATATATTACCAAAAAAAGTACTCAAATATTAATACATTTTGAATTCCATCAATAATAAATTGTGTAAATGTGTGTTCTCCCATGTTATATTAGTACCTATCAAATATTTATGATCTTTCCTCTTGGCCCATAAAACCTAAAATGGTTACTATCTGATTCTTTATAAAATCTTTTAGGGGCTCCTATTTTAAAGTTGGGACCTCACTTATCTAGATGCTCTGATAAAACAGACAGTAACCAAACGCATGGAAAAATTTTGACCTGAGTTTGAATGTTTTAGTCAGATCAATGCAGAAAGCAACATCATACAACGGAAAGAACATTGCATTTGGAAATGTCCCTAAAGAGACTTGGATAACTCATAGGGTGTTGTGAGGATTGAAGGAAATGGAATTGAAAATGATTTTCTAAAAAACTTGTAAAGTTCAAATATATTTAATGTTGACAGCATTCTTCACAAGAACCACCATTTTCTAGAAAGGATAAGGGCTTCAGCATCAGACATGAGTTTGAATCAGGCTTTATCACTTACTAGCTATGGAAGTGGCTAATTTACCCTTTCTGACCTCAGTTTCCTCATCTGTAAAATGATTTTAACCATACTTGTTCTGTAAGATTGTTATGAAGATTTGAAATTATTTGCAGAATATATACATTCATCACCTAAACCAGTGCCTTGCCTCAATAATTAGCAGCATTCTTACCATGATTTATAACTTCCATGTATTATTGTTGCCTACTACACATTAAAAAAATCAAGAAATATTATCTTCTTGGGAGATAGTGCTATATCTAGGGTAGTGGCTCTAAAACTTTATTTTGGTCTAAGGACACCTTTATACTCTTAAAATTATTAATGACCCAGACAGCTGTTGTTTATGTGGATTAAATCTATCAGTATTTCTTATATTAGAAAATAAAACTAAGAAATTCTAAAAATATGACTGCAAAACAAGATAAAATGTACCTCTTGTGTTTTTCCATAGGTATAAGGAAAATGTGGGGATTTCAAAATGATCTAATGAATGATAGTAAGGTTACAGACATTATAGAAAGTAAAATGGAAAAATCCTGTTAGGAGCACAAAAGTACTGAAAACACTCTGAAAACTCGTGTGTGTAGTCTCAACCTACTACCTTAAAAGGTCTAGAAAACACAAAGACACATTTAATAGGTATTAGAGACTTTACACTCTTCTAAGGAATGGACCTAGCAATTGTATCTGTATCTGAAAGGGGAGACATGGGTGACAGTAAGTTACATGATTAAGTTGGCTTAAAAAGAAAACGCTTTACATGAGTTTGTTTTCCATTTGCCCCTTTCTCCTCAAAGTGGAGTGTGGCAAAATATAATTCCAACCATTTGAGAATGCTTGATTAGTTAGGATCTAGACAACTGAATAATACTGGTATAATTAAAATAAATAATTTTATTTTCGAGGCAGTATTTTTCCATGTCAGTTCCACTAGGTTATTTTGACTTTCAAGTCACTTGATTAGTATTAGAAATGTATTGTTCATTGGGGCATGGTGGCTCACACTTGTAATCCCAGCACTTTGGGAGGCCAAATCAGGAGGACTATTTAAGCCCAAGAGTTTGAGACCAGCATAGGCAACACGGTGAGACCCTGCCTCTATAATAAATAATAATAATAATTAGCCAGGCATGGTGACATGTGCCTGTAGTGCCAGCTACTTGGCTGAAGTGGGAGGATTGCTTGAGCCCAGGAGGTCAAGGCTGCAAAGAGGCAAGATCCTGCCACTGCACTCCAGCCTGGGTGATAGAGTGAGACTCTGTCTTAACAACAACAACAAAAAAGACACGGGTATTTTTAAAGTGCTCAATGAATCAGTGTGAGAAGAACGCCCTCTAATGGACTTGGGAGGCATTGAGACAATGTTGTTAGCTCTGCAACTGGACATCCTGCTGGGCAGCCCTCTCCGGCTTCTGATACCCTCTTCTATCCAGTCCATGCATTGTAACAAAGCAGACCTCGCCCTCTGCTTTATCCCTTTAAATCCCCCTCAGACCCTTTTCCCTGGGCCCATCCCTTGCCTGTTGTCCCTTAGAGGCTTCCCACAGCCTCCTTTATAAGGAGCATCTCACCCATTCTTTCTGCCCCCCAAAATGGCTTAGGCACGAGAGCTCTCTCATGCACTCAGGGTGTTCTCTATCTCTTCTCTGACTCCATGGATTCTGACAAGCAATTAAATAGCTTATACTTATCTACCTGGCTTACAGACCTCTCACTCATAACACCTAATATATACATGCATACCCTCTCTCATCCATCCCTGCTCCCCCACCAACCCCCAGGACACTGTGATTTTCTAAGGTAAAAATAATTCGGGTGAAAATATGTTTGTTTGTTTGTTTGTTTGTTTTGAGACAGTGTTTTGCTCGACTCCCAGGCTGCAGTGCAATGGCACAATCTAGATTCACTGCAACCTTTGCCTCCCACATTCAAGCATTCCTGCCTCAGCCTCCAGAGTAGCTGGGATTACAGGCACCCACCACCATGCCTGACTAATTTTTGTATTTTTAGTAGATACAGTGTTTCACCATGTTGGCCAGGCTGGTCTCGAACTCCTGACCTCAAATATCTGCCAGCCTCAGCCTCCCAGAGTGCTGGGATTACAGGTGTGAGCCACCATGCCCGGCCTGAAAATTCTACGTGCCTTAGAGAAGGCACTGCAAGCTGCCTCTAAAGCTCATGCCATATTCTCTTTACTTATAGTTTCTTCCTATTGTATCAAACTGGAAGTTTGAAAATTCAATCTAGTTAAGTATTTAGCATTAAAGTGAATTTTAAAAATCATACTCCAACAAACTTTTCATCAAGCTTAATGAAAGACAATATTTATGTTATGGGTAAGCTGTTGTTTGTTAAGATTCCCCCGCTGCCTCCTCCTTGCCTGACTTCAGACCGGCAAGGGCATCCAGATTGAAATAACAGCTGAGTCCAACGTAAGGTGTCTTCCTAAGTACACTAGATTGGAGTGGCTGAGCCTGCTGAAATGCTCTATAGAGAAGAGAGTAGAACAGCAAGGAAATGATTATGGGGAAAATACATCTTCTCCAGCAGATGCTCTCTGATTACCTCAAATGGGTCCAGTCTCTTACCCATATCCCTTCTTACTAATATTGAGTTTGCACACTTCCTGTTCCATTAGAATCCATTTATCCTATTATGGATTTAGAATCATAGTAGGCATGGAGAATGTAATAGAAAAAAAAGAAAAAGGTGGCCAGCCTTAGGCAGAGTGGGAAGCAATGGTTGTGCTGATCTAGAGATCAGTGTTGGCTGAATGGAAGGAAAAGCTGTGTTTGAGGCATTTTGCAGGGCTCCAAGGAGGCTACTGAGACCTCAGGGAAGATCAAGACAATAGGAGTTGGTTGGAGCTAGGGAAGGCAGCCTTAATTTTTTTGCACGTTTTGCCTTCTAGATTGAAAAAAAAAAGGATGTCAACCATGAAAAGGTAACAATCTGTGCTAAGAATAAGTAGAGCAATTTATACTGGTTGAACAGTCCTTTTTTCCAAGTCATCTCATGTCTTTTCATTGCCAGATATCCTGTCTCTTCACATTGATTAGAAGCTTCCATTTTATTGGTGTCTCCACACATGTGACATTTCACAGGTGTGATTTATTTCTGAAAGAACTAATAGGAGAGGATAGGAAGCAGGGAGAAGAGAGAAAGGAGAACTGGAGAAAGTATGTCTCAGGGTGCTAGCTGGAAAGAGACCCTGTTTGTAAAAGATTCAGTAGATCTTCATGGCCTGGCAGGGACCTAGAAACTTGAGCCAGGCAGGTAAAATAGCCTTCAGGAACTTAATCATACAGGGTCTCCGGCCAGTACTCCACCCCACCTCCCAGGTCTGCCCCTCATCTTCCCAGCTCCCCACTTGCACCCATCAGCTGCAGTGGCCTTAGCTGTTTGTAAATGTACCAAAAGTGAGTATTCCAAGCTCAGCTGCCAAGTTCTTACAGAAACTTAGATGAAGTAAGTGAATTGATTGCTATCATTAACTTTTCCACATCATAATGGAATGTTTTTCTTCAAAACAGTATCGTGCTTACTATGGAGCATTTAAGGATGTCAAGGAGAAAAACAGGACCTCTGAAGAAGCAGAAGACCTCCAGGCCTTGCGTTTTCTATCTGTGATTTCAATTGTGGACCCTTGGATTTTTATCATTTTCAGAGCTCCAGTATTTCGGATGTTTTTTCACAAGATTTTCGTAAGACCTCTTAAGTACAGGAACTGGTGCAGCAATTCCACTAACATGGAATCCAGCCTGTGACAGTGCTTTTCACTCCGTGGTAAGCTGAGGAATATAGCACATTTTCAGTCAAAGAACCATGATTTAAAAAAAAAAAATCTTACAATTTAAATCCTTAAAAGTTATCTCCCATAACAAAAGCATGTATATGTATTTTCAAAAGTATTTGATATATCTTAACAATGATTTGTCATTCAATAGTCAGGAAGCCCTTCAGTGCATTTTCATTTTGTTATTAACAGCAACTAAAATTTCATATATTGTAACCAATGTTAAAAGTCTTAAAAAGCAATGCTATTAATTGTCCCTACATTTGTACTTGGTGGCCCTAATTTTTTTAGAGAGGTCTTGAGATGTTGGTCTTTTAAAATATAGTAGAAACACCACGGTTTATGATTATGTGATGGGGGCGTTCTTAAAAAGGACAATTTCTTACCCTATTCATTTTTGGTGAAACCTCATTCATTGAGTTTATATCATCAATGCCCCTATTTAGTTCATCTCTTTGCCAATTGATCTAAGCATAGCCTGAATTATGATGTTCCTCAGAGAAATGAGGTGGGAAATATGACCATGTCAGGCAGCTGAAGGGGCTTCCCCAGCCACGATCCGGGAATACTTGCTGCCTCATGAGGAGACCTAAAGCTATAACTAGACACAGAGCAAGATATGACTATAGCCTACAACCCAAAGAAGCAAAAATTCATTTTTATCTTTTGAAGTCCAGTTTCTTTTGTATTGAGTCAAGGTTGTCAGTAGGAATCAAACTTTGGGGGTGGGTTGCAAAATGTTCTTTCAGTTTTTAGAACCTTCATTTTATAAAAGGTTTATCCTATCGATGGATTCCTGGGTGGAAGGATTTATGCTTCTTTGAAAACCAGTATGTGACTTACTGTAGAGCCACGTTCACTGTTTGACTGTGTGGCGCAGTGGGGCATCTGGCACAGCGAAAAGCCCACACAGGACTTGGTCAGCCTCAGTTGAAGATGACAATGGCTATAACATCTACCTTAACAGCTACTTATTACAGCCATATTCTGCTTTGTGGAGACAGTAAGACCTTAGGTTCCAAGATCTACTTCAAATTACACTTTCAAAACTGGAGCAGGATATAGCTGCAAAAGAGCACAACTGAGCACTTTAATAGCAATTTAAAAGTTTACAAGGGTCAGCAACATGATGACCTAAAGAGAAAAGTGGAGGAAACGCAGCTGCAACTGAAATGGAGACTCTAAACCCAGCTTGCAGGTAAGAGCTTTCGCCTTTGGTAAAAGAACAGATCGGAGAGGTTAGAGGGGTTTCAGCACCTCTGGAGTTCCTTTGGATCCGACACTCTATCTGGGACTCCGAGATGCAAAGCCTGCTACATTTGCATAGTCTCAAGACTTCTAGCCGGAAGTCCCTTCCAAAGACAAGAGTACTCATGTTTACTTATTTCCAACTTAGCGGCAACCTCATTTGTTTCAACTCTGGTTTTTCTAGTATCTCAGAGATAGTATAAAGCTGGATACATGTATATAATTTTTTTGGTATAGCAAAACTGTGAAAAAGGCAAATTAGGAATACAAGAAGTATAATTTGACAATAACATGATGAAAAAAATGTAGTTGTTTTTGAAATTTCACTTTGGTTTGTATCTTCTATGTGTAAGTACATGTGTGTTTTATTGTCAGAGGAAGAACATTTTTGGGGAGGTGTGTTACGATAATTGTCCAGTTAATGTGAAAAGTCTCCAGATGAATCAATAAATATAATTTTGTAATATTTTGTCAAGGCAATTACTTTTCTTTGAATGAAAGAAAAGGGCTTGGTTTTCTTTTTTAAGCAGTTGCAATATTTCATTGTCTAGCAGTTTCATAGTGTGAATTTTTATATACTGTCCAAATTAACACTTACGTTACTTTAAACAAGCTTTCATAGACTTAGCTAAGGACTTAGTGCTCCTTTTTGTTTTATACAAAATGTAGCTACATCATCTAGATGAAGTCCCTGTTGAGTTAAAACCAACTCTTCAGTGATGTTCATATATTTATTCATTAATTCATTAAAAAATTGACGGAGACCTTGTGCTAAGCAGTTGGTTAGATGCTGAGGAAAAGAATAAAAATAAGACTCAGTCATGGTTCATGAGTTGCTCGTTGTCCACTAGGGAGAGAGGAGTGTAAACAATTAGGATACAGTATAGAAATCCTCCATAGTATTGTGAGTGAGCATTTACTATTAGAAGAGGAGGCCCAAACTAGGAGCCACATGTAGGGTTGTCAGGAGAGCTTCACAGGAATAAGATGCATTGAAAGTCAAGTATTGAAAATGAGTAGGAATTTTGACTCTGATTGAAAGCTGAAAAGAACACAGAGAAAGTTTACATAAGAGACAATACATGTAGTTAATAAATGTAGAAAAATATTCCGCCTAATCAAAGAAATGCGAAATTAAAATCAAATTATATAGGACCTAACAAAACAAAACAAACTATGACTCTGAATAACAGAGGTTATTCAGAGAGGAACATTCATGTTCTCTTGGCGAGCTTATAAATGTGTATACCCTTTCTTGATCGAAACCCAACAGCGTATCAAGAGCCTAAAGGGTTCTTTTCTGTTGTTCCAGTAATTCCATTCTAGCATTCTCTTGCAGAAAATAATCAGTAGTCCTGGACAAGCCGCAGTAACATCACCTGACACTTACTACAAATGCAAATTCTCCAGCTCCACCTCAGACCTGCTGAATCAGAATCCCTTGGGCGGGGCCAGCAATCAGGGCTTTAACATGCCCTCCAGGTGATTCTCATGCATGTTAATGTTTGAGAACCACTGCTCTACCCAAAACAAATAAAGAAAATACCAAAAAAAGACAAGAAAATATGTGATAGACTGTTTCTCTGACCTCTGATTCTCAGATCCTTTGAGGTGCAGATACTCTCTCACACCTGAACTTCCTCAGTGTTTTTATCTGTAATGTTCTTAGGGAAGTTACAGCTTTTAAATATCTTTCAACAGTGGCAGACCTTGCTGATTCTTTCCCAAGTTTGAGGTTCTGATAGCATTGATAAGACTGGTTTTGCTCACCTGGAAGTAAAAATGCTACCTCAGCAGTGATATTTCTTTGGCCTTCTGCAAACACTTATTGGGCACTAAGCCTGATGTTGTTCCCTTGTGAAAGAAGATAAACTAAAGAGCCTTCATTTATGAAAATATTGTCAACGATTGTATCTAAAGTGAGCTTTCATTAGGGATTAATATTTTCTAGCCTCTCTATGGGAGAGAAATTTCCACTGAAATATGTAAAGCTATTTTTAAACTTTCATAATTTGACTCTTGTATATTTTCAGGAAAATATTATACGTTTCATCTTTCTTTCCAGGCATTAAAATCCTTGTGGACTAGTCATCTATTTTTTTTTTTTCCATTTCTCTTAGTAGTTCAAACATTTACTGTAGAAGAGCTATAAATATACCACAGCTATATTGAATAAAAGGTGTTCTCTCTCATGATAATCCTAAAACATATGTCTAGTCAATAAAAGGCTGCTGTATGGCTTGGCTAAAGATTCCTCTGTATCTGATGAAGAATGTTCTCATATCACCATATAAGGATTTTTCTCTTAGGCTATCCAAAGTCGAAAATAGTACATATAGGAGAAAAAATTTTTGCTCTATATTATTTCCTACTGTTACAGACATTATGTAAATTAACATGTATGTGTCAGTTTTCATCCAGGAAAGCAACCCATACATAATGAAATTAACAACATAAAAGTTTGTTAATTAGGCAATCTTAACATTGTAAAAACAACTTTGTCTTATTAGAACAGTGTTGAGTGGCCTGCTCTTTAATTATTTTCTTGAGTGAGACTAGGATTGCTGGCCTGGGTGTTCCCAGACTCTAGGTGGAGGAAAGATGAGTGCATAGGATGGGTGGTACTATAATTAGGCTTCCTCTCCCAACCATTTCACAATAGCCAAATTCAGTGGAATGAATCAGCAGGTCTCACCTGATATCAGTGAGGTGAACATTCTAGTCTTCCAGATATTTTTTTAAAAACTGCACAAACTCAGGAGTAAGTCTAACCTTAAAAATATTTGCAATTAAGGTATTTAGAACCTATCATGCTCTGGTTACAAATAGGGGGAAGATATAAGCTTTTTTTTTTTTTTCTACTAAAATGCCTCAACCAGTGAAGACAATAAAATACAGTCAAGTCAAAGCTCAAAAGAAAGTATTTTAAGTCTAGTTCATAGGGTCTTATGATGATCTTAAACTCAGTAAGCACTTGGAAACACAGGACAAACTAGCACTGTAGAAGTTAAAAATTATACAAAGTAGTATAAATGTTAGAAAGTACTAAAGTATGAGTCAGATTTTAAAACAAGCCCCAAATCAGCGATAATTGACGTTTTTAGATTAGTCTAGCAATGCACTGTATAAACACCTGGGCAAACAAAGTTGGTAGCTTGCCAACATCAATTTCTTATCACTACAAAATAGAATATAGAAACAATAACTGTCATGAAACACAATTTATAATGAATTTAGAAAATACTTTTTATTCCCCCTGAATTAAAAAAATCCAGAGTTCCCAATTAGATTAAAAAGATAAAGTACAATGATTTACTGATTACAATTGTGTGAAAGCAAAATAAATCTTGGGACCCCAAATTCACTCGGCCAAAGGGAAAAGTCAAGCTGGGAACTGGGTCACACCAACCTGCCTCCCATTTTGGTTCCTAAATAAGACGGCTAAAGGATGAAAAGCTGCATACCTCCCTCACATTTTGCCCACAAGGAAATTCCTTGGCGCCCCAAGACCTTGACTCTAAATTGTTTCTGTTAAAGTTCTTCATGGCAATGTGAATCGATAGCTTTTCTCCACAGGTGTAGGGACATAGGCAAGAACTCAAAGTCATCCCTCTGCCCACCTGAGACAAATGCAGATCGGATTGTTTTCTCTGCTCTATTGTCTACATTATCTACGTTATGTAAAAATGCAGATTCACTGAGCCAAAGGCATGAGTGACTGTTTTCCCCTACCTCCCTCTCACATGAAAATTATGAATTTCTCAGTATCCTTCCCTTTCCTCTTTAAATATTGAAATCCTCAAAATCATTTTTGGAGAGAGGAATATACCAAGTGTGTGTCCTTAACTTTGGCAAATAAACCTCCAAAAATGACTGAGACTTACCTGGGTTATTTTCCTTGATTGACCACAGAGGGATCCTGAGTGACGGTGGCCCTGGTCTGCAACAGCTTTCCTACTTGTACTAGCTTGGGCTCTTTATAGCCCAAACCAATAGGACAATTTGCTGACGTCTGGGACCTCCTCCCTGCAGGAATTTGAGGGTCTGAGGTTTAATTTGCTGTTTAAAAAAATATATATATCCTTTTTTTTTCCTGGGTATTTCTGTTTGCTTCCTCCAAGGAAGGCAAGCTTGTCTGCTTCGTCATCAGTGGAGAACAGTCTTCAGCTTGAGCCTCATCACTAGTAAGGGAAGAAGCTGAGTTGGGATTCTGTCTTGCAAATTCTCTTTTTTTTTTTTTTTTTTTTTTTTTTGAGATGGAGTCTTGCTCTGTCGCCAGGCTGGAGTGCAGTTGAGCAATCTCGGCTCACTGCAACCTCCGCCTCCTGGGTTCAAGCGATTCTTCCGCCTCAGCCTCCCGAGTAGCTAGGACCACAGGCGCGTGCCACCACGCCCAGCTAATTTTTTGTATTTTTAGTAGAGACGGGGTTTCACCATGTCGGCCAGGATGGTCTCGATCTCATGGTCTCGATCTCTTGGCCTCGTGATGCGCCCACCTCGGCCTCCCAAAGTGCTGGGATTACAGGGCAAATTCTCTTTAATGACTAAAGTTACTGTTAACAACCAGCTGGTCTTAATTTCTCCTTACATTTAGAGCACTCAGAAATTGTATAATTTGTGTGATTGTTGTTTGTTTTGCTTAGATGTCTTGTCTATTTGTTCCTGTCTTGTTAGTTTTTTTTTGTATGTTTCAGTCCTTCTCTTATTGTATTTGGCCAACTCTAAACCCTCTAGCTTATGAGTATGGAATTTTCCTCTCCAAAGAAATAAGAGCACCTTGCCCCTCTCAGCCTTTCCGGACATTCTTAGGCAACTGAGAATTTCATGAGAGTGTCTGGAAGAAACATTCCCTAAGGTGTGCAATGGCTCTGAGTAGAATTTCCCCTTAGAAGAACATACTTAGGGTGTAATCCCAGCTAGCAGGTGCGAATACATAGCGCAGGTGCAAATACGTAACTGATCTCCTGCACCTTGAGCCCCTGACACACTGTGCCAGGTAGCCACAATATGGGTGGACCAAACCGGTTCAGGAAGTAACGGCCCTGAAAAGCTAGGTCCCCACGCAGCACACTTTGGATCCAATAAACCCTCCAACTTGGTCAAATCTGAAGGAAAACTAAATTATGTGGAAGGAGGCCTTAAGTTGGCTAAAACCCCACAGCTGCGGAACACCAAGTTCCACCCTTAGAAACTCCAGCCCTGTATATGCAAAAACACTTATTGTGAATTGTCATGTAAATATTTAATCAAGTGGACCACTATAACCAGGGCAGATACTTACAGTGGCCTAGATGGGGATCTTCTGAGATGCCCAAATTAGTGTACCTGTGAACTAGCATGCGAAACACAGGCACAAAAACTAAACAAACAGAATGGGAGAGCTACTTTCAATGGTGCCTAGAGAGTAGCAAATGGGGAGAAGATCATGTCCTTACAAGAAGCCAACAAACAACTTAGAAATGCTAACCAAG